TTTATATCATCTTGAAGAAAACCAACTCTTTGTCAGTCCCCAGGGGATCCGATGTCTGGCTGTTTCAGCAGGAGTGGCTCCAATCTTAGCAGCTCTAAGTGGTGTCTTTTTTTCCTTCTATTCCTGGAATATAAGAGCAATACACTCCTTTTGTCTCAAAGTTCAGATGTTTTAGGAGATTCCGAAAAAAAATTCCTATTTTCGTTTCTAAGGTACTTGTTGGGTGAATGTGGCTTAAGGATGAGTGAAGCTCACAACTGTTCAGACCTCTGATCTACACTGAGCATCTAATCTTGATGCAGCCCATTACCATCTCATGAGCTTGCAAAATTCACTAGGGAGTGAAGTCGCTCCAAAGGTCAAGCTTTTTTGTGAGGGATTAGTGCTGTTTATCACTATAGATAGGCTGGAGCAGGCATCAGGAGAGACTTTTTGGCAGTGGTTCAGCACTTCTGCTTTGGTGTCCGCCCAGAATGATAAAGGATTTGGTCTGTGACTTCGGAACAGCTCTGACTCTTTACTTTTTAGTCCAGTTCTTCAAGGAAATAAGCTGATGGGATCATGCTCTAGATCTTTGGTTGAGTCACCATCCCTGGAAGTATTTAAAAGACGGGTAGATGAGGCGCTTAGGGACATGGTTTAGTGGGCCTGGTGGTGTTGGGTTGACGGTTGGACTCGATGATCTTGGAGGTCTCTTCCAACCTTAATGATTCTATGATTCTATGATTCTGTGATTTTTTTCTTGCTCGTGTCTCTGTGCGTAACTTCTGGCCCTTCCGGGCCAGTTTCAAGCAGGTTTGGCAAAGGGCTGGAGGTTTTCAAAGTGTGAAGATGCTACAAGCATGTGCTAGTAAAAGGCCACAGCAGAAGGCTGTGCTGGAAACCAGCCCTGGACAGTTGTGTATGGGGAACGATGGGCTTCAGAGGTGATTTCCCCTTTCTGCTCCTGCGTCACCAGAGGCACTTAATCATTCGTGTGCAGCGTTATGCCGTTTGAACACGATATGAGAGATTGCTTATCCTTTGAGTCCCAAACAGCATTTCCATGCAGGCTGTGAAGGGCAAACAGAAAATGGAAGAAGGTGTATGTGCTACCTCCAGAAACATGCAGCCTGTAGCTCTCAGCTCCTGACATGGGCCGGGGCCCTGCTGCAGTGATGGCGGTGTATGCAGGGACTGAAAAAGGCGATTCGGAGATCAGGTGAGCCCTTACTTAGGCTTGGGAAGCGTGTGGGTGTCTCTGTGTACCTCAGACATGGGTTAATGCAAAGCCCCAGGAGCTCCCTGCCAAGAAGGAGCTTTCTCTGGGTTCCTGCCTGGCTGAAGGAACCACACGGGCTGGGCTGAGGTTAATTTCTGAAGCTATAGTAAAGGCCTTTCAAGCTGGCAGACGTGTGCGCTTCTTTGTGCAGCCCTAAAATGGGGCAAATAAAAATGAATGAATGAATGGATTGGCTGGATGAGGGTCTGCTGTAACCATTTGTTTTCAGTCCTGCCTCTCCTGAGGCATCTTTTCAGCCAGTTGGAAGCAAATTTCTTCCTTTTCTGTTTGGATGTGAATTATCTTTCCTGCCAGACGTTACTTGAATCTTTCTTTGAAGTGCCATACAGCAAAGTGACATCCCAGCTGCACGGATGAACCCTTCTGACAGCCTGAACTGGAGGATGAAATGTGTAACCAGCACAGAGACAGACACATAGATCCTCCCTGTCACATCGCACCTGGGAGTATTCATCTTTGTGACTATCCCTGAGGATGTGTTTGCTATCCTGGGTGGCCTTGAAAGAGAGGATGATGGTCTCACGGTAGTGCCCAGCCCAACACGTATGAATTGATCACCGTCATTGATTCCTTCGGTTAAATGACATGGATATAGCTGTACTTACTGAGACAGGGTTTATAGTAGTAGAAGGACCGAGGTGGTTATATGCAGAAATAAGGGAATATACTTAGTGAGTAGAGTGAAATGTATGCTGGGGTGTGTTTATGTGTGTCTAGTTGTCATGGTTATGGTCTTGGAATAAAGCAGTTAATGGCATTACAGGCTCGTCAGTCAAAGCTGCTGAATATAAAGTCACGTCTTGGCATTTCTCGGGTGCCTCTGCAGTCAACAGAGAGGCTTCATTTCACCAGAACCTTCATTTTGCCTTGTCACAGCAGAGCCTGCTACCTTGCGACAGCTGAGGGCATGGGAGCACAGATGGGTCTATGTTGGCTCTGCCCATGTCTTGACTGTATTTTGGGAGAGGTGAAGCATGCACCATCCCGTTGTATAGATTCATTCTGTAATAAAACCACAGATAGGCAAGTAAGGAAGGTGTCCTTGTGCTCTCTCCCGCCCTGCTCTCCACAGTCTACCTCACTGGTAGATGAGGATTGAAGGTTTGGCTGTAGAGTACACCCAGCCTGCAATTTCAGTGCAGCCAGCTGAATTCCTTGGCAAAGATATCCTTGCTCCAGGCATCTCCTACTGCTGCTAATACCAGCCCAGGTCCACCAGGCTGAGCAACGTGGAAAAGGCTGGTATAGCTAGTTCCTGTGGTTGTTAGTGTTTTGAACACTGAGAGCTAGATGCCTCCCATCTAATTTCAGATACTTTACTGAGGTGCTGTAGTTGTGAGCCCAATTACCTTAGTCAAGACAGAGGTAAGCACCTCTGGAGGCTGATTCAGAACTTGTGGTGGATGAATTAGCCTTGGACGGATGAGTCTTTATTGACTTCAAGCGCGGAGCTCTGGGAGAAGTGCTGCCTTGGGTGTCTGAGTAAAACAATTACAATCTGTTGATAATAACCGGAGCTTGTGTTTTTTAAACCTGCTTTAAACAGAGCAAGGTGCTGTGATGTTAGCAGTTCTGATATCCCACTGGATGGGAACCCCAGGTCCCACTGCCCAGTGCCAAGGTCCTCTGTACACAGAGCCTTTGCCAGCCCTAACCCAGCTCAGAAGGTTCCCACTTCTCCTCAGCCCTTCTTACAGATGTGTAGATTCAAAGCACCAATAGCAAAAGCATTGGGGAAGTGAGAAATGTGTTAAAACGAATGAAGAAAAGCAAAATCAAGCTTTAAAAGCAAACTGGTAGATCCTGAGGAATACCTATAGTAGGAGTATGAGCGTGCTAGATGCCGTGGAAGGACTTCATAGCTCTGTGTTACAGTCTTTCTGGCCAAGAACTAGCATTGGTAGACAGTAAGACAATTTCTTATGGATTTTGGTGGAAACATTTCATGGGGAAGGTGAAGAAGGAGGAATTAAAATTATAAACTGAGTTTCTGTTAGAATGTGTCTGTTATAGTGGTAAAACCCTCAGCTGATGAACTGAGGAAGCTGTTTTGTCTTTTTGGAGTAACAAGAAGCAAGACATGATCTAGGGTACCCTAAGGAAATTTATGTATCTACAGACGCACTGTTCCTGAGTAGAAAAGATCTGATTTTGGTAAAGAAATAGACATTTTGAGAAGAATTGTCTCTTTGTGAGAATTTTTTTTTTTTTAATACTGTTTTAATTCTGTTGGAGTCTGTGTCTGAAATGAAATTGGTATCTCTTCTCTCCGTAAGCAAGCTGAACCTTGTCCCTCCAGCCATTTGGGGCTAGGAAGTTTGTGGAGCGATCTGCTGACCTTCTGCAGGCCAGAAAGTTTCACCTTTCCCAGCTTTCTTGACTTACTCCTCTGGCTGTTGCTGAGCCTAGAGATGGAAAAAGGCAGCTTGGATATCTAATCCATCTCCACGTCACAGCCAGCTGCTCCTTGCAGTTGATTTGTTATTACTGTCCTCGGATAAAATCTAATCAAGCCCAGTGTGGCCAGAGGGACTCCATCAACTCTCAGAAGCTCCCTAGCAGGGGCGGCTGTTTAGAGGTTCCTTGTCAGAAGGAATAATAATAATAATAATATAATAATAATAATAATTTCTATTCAAGTGCTTCAAACTGTGATTTACATTCATAGGTGATTTTCTCACTGCCCCACAATACTACTTTTTGAGGAAAAAAGTGTTTAAGTCTGTGTCTTGTAGATGGGGAGGCAGAGTGTTTTGTCCCGGGCAATGGAAGTCCGTGGTAGGTTTGGGAGCTGGACCACGCTCTTGGATCATGAAGCCCTGTGCATAACCTCAAGGTTATTGTCCCTTCAGAAGCATCAGTGGTGATGACAGTCTGTTCTGCTCTCAAGAGTCAGGGCTCTGCCATTAAAATAAAACAGAATATACCCTGGTGTCTTCCTTTAAAAAAGAAACAACAAAAAAAGCCCCGAAAAACCAAAACAAAATCATCCATCAATTCTTTTTTTTTGTTTCTGACAAAAAGAGCATGAGTCTCTGCTAATGAAAAATATTAAAATTCCAGGTGTCCTGTATAATAAATAATAACATGAGCATAAACTTGGCTTCCCACAGTCACCACCAAATCATCAATATAGCTCTTTTTGTGCAGCTCGTTTTGAACTTTGCCTATTTCCTTCAGCTATGCAGATATAAATAAATAATTCCACTTGATAAAGGTCTGGGAATGCTATACTTTAAAAGATAAGAAAGCTTTGAGAGGAAATTGTTTTTAAATCCATAACATTTGTATGCTGTTCACTGTTCAAACTGAACAAAAATTCATTCAGTTGGCAGTTAACCAACCCTATTTTATTCTTATTCTGTGTTCAACCTATCCTTCTCCTGGGGACATCTAACCTTATATGTAATTACCTCTGAGAGTGGGAAGGAGGCCTAAATAACCTTCCTAACAACTAAATAAACGCACAGATCCCTGGGACAGGTTATCAGTTGGATGCTGGTGGCAGAGCTATCCAGAGCGCTGTGCCTGAGCCATGAAGAATTTCAAGACTTGAGTAATTTTCTTTCCAGCATTGGGCCAAAGAACTAGGATTTGAAATGTTTTCAGAAAACCAAAACAAAACACCCTGGTTTTTCAGATTATTTTTGTTTCTTTGATAGCTTGGAAATAACAGTGATGAATTTTAACAGTGATGGTGGCTTTTTTTTCTCTCAAGGTCTGTCCAAGTCACTTGGTCTCATTGAAGGCTATGGTGGACGTGGTAAAGGTGGGCTTCCAGCCACCCTGTCCCCTGAGGAGGAGGAGAAAGCGAAGGGACCACATGAGAAATACGGCTACAACTCCTACCTCAGTGAGAAAATTTCACTGGATCGTTCCATACCAGATTATCGTCCAACCAAGTAAGTACCAGGAGCGCACATGTTTAGGTATCATCCAAGAGCCAGGAGTGATGGTTGCTTTCATATTCTCGTGTGATACTGTTTGCTCTTCCCTCCTTATTGTTCACAGGGCCATGCTCCGTAATGAGCAACCGATGTAGTTTAGTTTAGCTGAAACTGAGATAGTTCATAAAGACAATTTATCAGGGGGGAAAAAGCTAATTTCTTCCCACTCTTCTCTCTCGCGCTTTTTATTTTCCTAAAGCAATACATTATTTTGGGTGGTAGTAATGTGATCAGAAGCTCACATCTGCTTTCGTCAGCAAAGGGCTGTTCACTGAGCCTTTGGCATTTATTACCCTGTAAACGTGTGCAAAGACCCTCCCTTTCTCCTCCCTTGTCAGCTCCTTCATGTCCCTGCAAGACCTCCAGGGCCTTCCGGCTGCCCTCGCACTCCTCCCGGCACAGTCCTCCTCCTGGGAGGCTGCTGTGGGATCTCCTGTTGGAGGTCTGTGCAGACGCCTTTGAAGGGAGCCCAGTGGCTCAGGTAGCAATATCCTTCCTCTACTATTTCTCCAGAATGACCTTTTAAGATGATGGTGATGATGATGTTTACCTGCTAAGCACCGCAGAAGAACTGACTTTAAATGAGATGCCAAATCATTTTGTTGAGTGTGAGAAAAGACATGCTGTAAGTTTACCTTTCTGAAAGTTAATTTTAGATATGGCTAGCAGAGTGTTCCTCAAAATAGGAAAATGTCAATTGTGGAGTGAAATCCCTGATAAAAAAATGAGCTGAGAGAGATTTAGATTCTGACAGATATGTGTCCAATGCCTATGTCATTAGGACAGTGAGAAAGCCATTGCTTGGCATCTGCAAACCATTGAAAATCATGCAGCAAGGGGATGCAGCTACATGTCTCCAGCGTACTAGCAAATTGTTAAGGATGTGAGAGCATGGGGAGATTTTGTTCCTTCACTTCTCTGCATGCTGCATGAATTTCAAGCAGCCACTCAGAGTTTCCAAGGCTGTCAACCACTGACAACAGAAATATTTGGATGAGTTTTCAAAGGAATGGAGGCCCAGCCTCCCATTATGCTGGTATGGTTCGTCTGGACAAAATGAATTGCAGGTACAAATTGCACCTTTGGCTATATGATATGCAAATCCCACTACAATGACAAATCCTTGAAGTGAGACCTTCTCTAGCAGTTACCTGAGTCTGAGCTTCTTATTTTCATTTCTCATCCAGAACTCTGGCTTCTAGCAGAGCCAGCATTACTTTGTGAGAATTAATTTGAGAAGTAATGTTTTTTCAGATCTTGCGGGGGGAAGGAAAGGATTAATTCTGACATTTTTAGGTTTGTATTGTATTCTTCCTCAGTGCCACTATCCATCATTTCATGGGAGGGTGGTGGAGAGGACAGAGCAGGCACAGCAATTTATTAAATATGCATCACTTTGGAGCTGGGCTAACAATTTGGAGAGAATTTGTGGGTACTGACTGCAGCTGCATAACTTAGTGTCTTTTATCTATGTAATAACTTCAGGAGTGTTCAGTTTTGGGTTTTTTTTTTTTTAGGGATCAATTGTCCTGGTATTGTAAGACAGCGGTTGGTCTGGTTATGAAATAGGCTTGAGTTTGCTGGAGGATTTGAAAAGTTTCAGCTTTTTTCTACTTCTGACTTCAAGATCCTTTCACTATTTTGTGCGTGCAATTTTATAGCTGATTTTATGAAGGGTTTAATACAAACCATTTAAGTCAAGTATCCTGGTCTCTGATTAAAATAGATTCAAGTCAAAGGAAATTAGCCTAAATGGTTTTGAAATTGCGGCATTAGTGGGGAAAAACTGTTGAAAACCCTCCAGCTGATAAGCATTACAAAGCATGTATTAGTTTTAAATATAATAGTGAAGCCTGTTAGGTTCAACTAAAGGCTGTTCAGCGTCTGGAATGCCAATGGACTCGGACTGTTCCTAGCAGCGGCTGTCACTCATGTGTTCTTTCCTTTTAATGTTATCTTTTTTTAAAGAAAAAGATTAATGTGGTCAAGTGTCACTCTCCTGAGTGCTGAGCTATGCTGGATCAGACCTCTTAGTCCTTTTCCTGCCCCCTCTTTGTGACTGTGGCCAAAGTGAAGGGGAGTTTAGGGGAAATTTGGCATGTTTTGTAATCTTTCTGTATTTAGACTCGCTGCACCTCACTAAGGGTTCAGAGACAGAGGTGTCCCTGCTCAGAGTGATTTGCAGACAGATGTGGGCAAAGAGGAGGCATCGCGAGTCCCAGCTGATGGCCTTCTGAGTCCTTGCCCAGAGGCAGCAGAAAGGATAGAGGCGAGTTTCCCTGGAGAAAATGGTCCAAGAGGTGTTGGATACAGGGTGGCGCTTAGGAGAAGGTAAGGTCTTTCCTAGGGCCAGAAGTGGGGGCAGAGTACCTTGCTTGTATTTATCTGGGGAGTTGTGGTGTCTCTTTTTGGTAGTTTGGACTATCATCTTCGTTTTGGTTATAAAATGCAGTTCATTTGAGAGATTTTCTTTTCTTTTCTTGAAAAGCTGAGGCTGCTTGCCAGGGCTGGAAGGCAGAAAGTCTACCCTGCTGTTCACCACTTGAGCAGTATTGGGCTTTATGCTGGAGTGATTCTCAAAAAAAGTGCTGCTGATCGTATGGATACATGAAATACGTGTGTGGTACTGATATTGTAAGGGAGCTGTGCCTGTAAGACCTTAGTCTTGAGCTCATTGATACTGAATGCTGCTGATCCTGGCCTTCTGCTGAGTAGGAAAGGTTGTGTTGGGTGTGCAATGCAATGTGCTTTTAGAGTGAATCAGATAATGGGATTACATTTTGGATGACTGAGAAAGCTACTCCTTTGGCGAAAATAAGGGAAGACTAGTATTTTGATACAAGGGACCTTATTTCAAGTCTTGCTGTGGAACAGTGGCGTGATGACATAGCATAGGCAACACATTTTTATCTTGCTTGATTAGGTTTTTGGACTTTAAGATGAGATTCCTACATGTTCTGGAAAACAATTACTACTTCTAGACTGGAAGTACCCAAGGTGCTGCCCGCAGACTGCAGGTCTTCTACACAAATCTCCAAAAAAATGAGCTGGAGAGATTTTCTTCAATTTTCTGCACAGACTGTGAAAGACAAGGCTGATTTGTGAGTTTTATTGTAGATCAATTCACAGCATTTTCTGCTTGCCTATGAAGGATGGGGGGGTTTAAGAAGACGTGTTGTTTTCTTTATTGAAAGTGAAGCATATTTACATGGGATCCTAGGGGCTGCTAACATTCCCCGCTTTGATACTAGATTTTATGCACCTCTATTTTATTCTGTGATGTATGATTTAATGGGAACACCTCCTACATGTAGCGGGGAAAATAAAAATTGCTGTGTTAGATCAGCCTGCCTATCCATTTTATCCAGTATCTAATCTCTGATAGTGGAATTACCAGATGCTTCAGGTTGAAGAAATCATATTAAGGAAAACTATGACATAATCTGCCCATCTGGTACGTTCTGTCTTCTCTATTCTCTTTTCAATCCTATCTAATACAAGTGTGGAGTTCTCATTATCTCTTTAAAAGTCTGTTCCTTCCTGGAATCCTGCTAAGCTCTGATTCAGTGGTATTTTATGGCATTATGGGATTAATGGGTAGATTTAAGAAAATTTTTTAATACCCACACTTGTTAGGACTATTGAATCATTGGGTGAAAATGACATATCCCTGCTGCTGCGAATCTCTCAACAGCTGTTCTCATGCAGGCAAGCTTCAAGATATTAAAGCAAAGAGGAAAAACGGTGTAAGTGGTAAGCAACTTCCACAGCTTGGTTTTCAGAGGTTTTGAGGGCTTCCTATCCAGGAGACCCTACCCCTTCCTCCTGCCTGCCTTGTGGGACCTCCATATGGGTCAGGCAAAGCATGGAAAAACGTTGGGGTTTTGTATGGGGAGCTTGACCTGCTTTTGTGTTTTTGCAGCATGCACCTGGTAAAAGATTTGCATTTACTAGCTGGACCACACAGCCTTAGAGCAATGTCCTGGGTAAAGCTATACCATCGACTGGAAGCCATTGCTAAAGATTAAACAGTTATGTATCACTGACTTGATTTTAATTTTTCCCACTGGCGTGTTTGGGGGTTGAGTCAGAGTCATTACACTCAAGTGTCTCAAGTGGCTGAATCACCCGTTTATTTCCGTAGCTGCCTTCCTCGGGAGCCTGGGAGCAATTGGGCTTTTTAGCACCATCTGGCTTTAGCTGGTTTTATTACCAGAGACTTCTGTGTAGCAGCTAGTTGAAAGCCTTTTTTTGGGACGTAGGGGAAGAGACAGAGAGTTTCAGAGAAGACTTTGGATTGTTCTTTGACAACTTACTTAACTTAAAGGAACTAAATCCGTTCTTGATTTTATTTTTATTTAAAGTGGTCTGTATATGCCCTTTGGGGGCTCTCAGCATGTACATACTGGGTGCTAGAACATACTCTGGGGTGCAGGAGCAAGCTGTAGCGGGAGGCACTGCTCCCTTTGGGGTCTCTTCCCACCCCCGGAGAGCCTCTTGCCCTCTGCCATGGGGCTATCTTTGGGTCTCAGCCTCCACTGAGGTTACTGGGGTGTTGCAAGGCCAAAGAATTGGATTTTGGTTTTATAATCAAAACTGAATACATCTTTGGGAAGTCATGAATGTGGATGCGACTTAGACACATCAGGACTGTCCAGGAGGATGGGCCTTGGAGACCTGTAATTCAGTCTCCTGCCTATGAGACCACACCTGCCTTCACATCTCTCTTGTGCTGAACCCAAGACATTCTCATCCTGCGCTGGACGCTGGCCATACCTGCTCTCAGGGGCTTCCCCTGCAGACTCCAAGACTGACAAAGTTTTGTGCCGTGAGGCTCAACCTGTGCCCTGTGGTTGGCTCTGATGGGGCTCAGGAAAGTCTCTGTAGGTTTCATGTGCTATCATATTTATTTATTTTCTTGTGAAGAAGAGCAAATCTCTTCCACTATGGAAATA